AATAATGTTCATTAGTTTGTTGCAGTAAGAGAAGGGTCACATGTACTTCTACGGCTAAATACAACATGTTGAATGTAAATGATCTAATTTGCGCTGTTCAATATGTTGCAATAACTTGTGGAATGGAGCATGTCCTTACCAGCTTCTCTTGTGGCACTAGGGTTTTCTTTAAACTAATGTTTTCTGATCCGAGAGTTAAGGTTTTTGTTGATTTCTATACGGAGGAATTTATCTTTTTGTTTTATATATTCTTCTTATATAATTCTAATTAATTTATTATATATATATATATATAGATAGATGCAAATAGGTTTTGTTGTTGGAATGCTTCTGGCTAAATATGTATATACCTTTAATGTAGGGAGGTATTCTGAAAAACAACTCATATTTTAGGGAAATTATGTATGAATAGTTTACGGTTATATGGAAAAATGACAAATATATAAATGACTCACTTGGTGGTTATGATAAAAAAAAAAAAAAATCGTCAAGTAACACAGTATACTATATAGTAACCCAATCTCCTAAAACAACTCTATAACCTCATTAATTGAACATTTGTATTGTTCAACCATCAAACAGGCTACCCTTTATGTTTCATTTATTATTATATATATTATTATTTTATTAAAAATACATATTAAATAGATATAAAATTAAAGTGTTGTTAATTTTAAACAAAAGTTAATCAGATTTAAAATTTTTCTTGATTTCAATAAAACATTTTTGAATTGAGTTATAAATAAGACAGGAATATATATTTAGGAGCAAAATCCATTTTCCATAACCCCCAGAAAAAAATCCCCTTTATAACCAATCTGTCTTTTTCATTGACTAAATAGTGTTAAGCCGACCCAGAAATTTCCAGGATGACCCACAACTGTGCTTTCCTGTTTTTTCTCATCAACTTGTCTTCTTATTTCTATTGATTGCCCAAGGCAAGCTTTGATTTTTGAATATTCCGTAGATTTTTTGCTTGTTTATAAAATACTTTTTCGGTCCTTGATATAAAACCTAATTAACTAATTTGAGTAGATTAAATATGATATTTAAATTAGTTAATACGACATATTTTTTGTAAAACACCTTAAGTATTTTTCTTAATTCTCTTCATCTTTCTCCTACTTAATCATTGTTAGGGGAATATCAATAATGTTAATTTAAAAAATAATTGATAAACAAGTAAAATAGGTTTTATATTACAGGACTAACATCAACTTTCTAATTACTCCTCCGATCCTTAATATAGGACCCAATTGTTAAGTTAGTTTTGGCCCTAAATATAAGACCCATTTCTCATATTTATCACTTTTATCTAAATTACCCCTATAGATACTCCCTCAACTATAATCAAGTAAAAGAGAAATAGGGGTATTAAGAAAGATGATTATGGTATTTTAGTAAAAACGTGTCACATTTCTTATAATTAACTAATTTACCTAATTTCTTTAATCTAATCAAATTAGTTAAATGGGTCTTATATTAAGGACTGAAGGAGTAGCTCCTAAGAAGCGGAGGAGTAAAACCTTTCTTCGGTTTACAGTTAGTTAATTACCTTGCGACCATCGCTCTCATCATAGTATTTATTGCAGAGCAAATAACTAATTAGATCTACTCGTAACCCCCCCCCCCACCCCAAAAAAAAAACTAACTAGATCTGCTTCAATCACAAACCCAAATTCATTTTTAAAACCTCTAGATATCAGCAAAATGGAGAATCCAGGCGAGGCGCGGCTAAGAAAACGCAAAGATGTAAACAACGACCTGAAATAAGAAGAGGGCAAGTAGGGTTACATTTTGGGCTTTGGCACAGTCATCTTTATCTCTCACCACGTGTCCCATTTAATTTGATTATAAAATTAAATAGCTAGGCGAAAAGAGATGATAAAAATCATCAAATTTTAGTTGCAGTGTGGTCAAACAAATGAGTTTATAAAACTAATTTAATATTATTAAATATTATTTAATCTCGATAAATACTGTTACTTTTTCTTTTTTGCCTCCTAGGTCTGTGTTTCCAAAAAAACTTAAGAAACATATATTAGTACTTTTTATTAATTTTCTTAATAAAAGCTTATACGAATAATTTATAATTGGATGTTATCTATATATTTAATTAAAATGAATTTCATATGTATTTAATTTTAGTTTTGTCTGATATATTATAATATTAATTTATTACCTAATATGTTGATAATTTGTCATATTATGGTTTTTTTTTTGACACTTTAATAATATATCTCTTAGTTACATATTTTGGAACCAAATAATTATATATTACTATATACGTATATGATTTTATTTTTATTTACTTATTATATTATCTATCCGAGTGAACGTCCAACCGGATCTGACCATTTTAAATCTTGATTCACTAACTTGTCCAACTCGAGGTCCGGTCTAACTTTTAAAACATTGCCAGCTTCTTGTTTGGGCCATCCATCGATGCTCTGTTTCTGACCCCTGTCGTTTTGGCCAATATAACACAGAGGGGAGGAGAGAGGGGCCATTCCACCTGCAATGTCATGACCGGCCAAGACATAATTTCCTGATATCTGAAACTGTGAGGCAGTTTCTCAAGAACTGGGGTGTCAAACCACTGCAACATGAAAAATTGAAGTGGGAATAAGAACGGTAGCATAAGTGTTACATTCAACATTAATTCTAGTGCTGATTTTATACTGCTGCCCAGTTCTCGCTGCAGATTCCAATTGAAGTAGTTGTTTCATCTTGTCATCAACTACTATTTTTCAATGAAGAGATGCCAACCAGTCCTATTAAACCCAAAAGATTCCAATCCAAGACACGGATCTTTATGTTCCTGCCAGTATTGCATTAATTCTAGTGCTGATTTTAAAAAAAAAACTCTTAACATGTCGGCTAGGTTTTGTATTGATCCCTCTGTCCCTTTATGTAAAGCCCGGTTTTGAAATTCATCCATGCCAATGCCTTCTTTTTTCCTTTTTCATTCTTTCCTATCCTACCCTTATTCATTTAGTAGGGGCAGGCCAAAAAAACAGAACGTTCTAGAATTGTAGTGTCCTCAGCCTCTAGCTCAATAGACACCGTTGAATCCATGTTAGTCTTGGAGTTAATGAATGATTGTTCCTCCTTTTACTTACTGAGCTTAGCTTGTGATTTATTCTCTTAATCTCAAAACTTTTTCCATTATCATGTTTGGCTAATGGGTGTTGTAACGAGGGTCATGTTCCCCTGCATAATGCGTATTCATTTTTACAGTTCAAAAACTGACGCTCAACTTGTAAAAGAGAGAGCCTTTTTTTTTTTCTGAAGGGGGACTATCTTATCCTCTTGGGTATAGATGCTGTTTCTCTCGTCATCAGCTCAATGATAATAACCCGGACCCCTTGAACGACCGTTCTCTTTTGATTGAGGTATTACCATCTGATTCTGCCAAATGAGTCATCTTGTTCGGTGATAAAAGTTGCAATTGCAAAGGGACTGAATCTAACCTCTTTGGGTCTGAACGTGGGAATTGAGGATACTAGGGACGGAGGAAGGAGCAAAGAGAGAGGAGGAGGTCAAAGAAGAAAATGCTAAGACCAAGTCATTTAAATCCAAAATTCGTCGTTTTGGAGATGAGCTAGCAGTTGTGCTCTGGCATTGCATATTCTTCTTGCTCATGTTATTGTACTTCACTTTCACTGTATCACATCCCGTCCTTAATATAAGAATAAGATAATTAATTTAGGAATATTAAAAAAATTGATTATATTGGTTATTTGTCACAAATGTGTGTTAATCTCTCTAAACTATCCTCCTCAATCATGTCCATTAAATAATTAGAATTATTTCATAATAGGAACCCTTACAATCCATAGGGATATTTTGGAAAAAAATAGAGAATAAAGTGAAATAAGATCTTATATTTACGACCAACCCCCAACTAGCTTTTATATTAAAAACTGGAGGTGGTAATTGTCAACAAATTCATCATTTTTACGGTTGTATCATTTTTATAGTGCTACCATTGGCAATGCCATTACGAGTTTATATAAAAGCCAAATCTATAAAAATTTCTTAAACATACATTTATAATAAAATTTACAGAATTATGTATAATTATTCAAACTAGATATATTTTTCCTGCGTATTTTAATCGAAGCCTAAAATAAACTTCGTTGCTATGTATTTATACATAGTACTATATATTTTACAATTTTCAATTGTTAATACTATGTTTGTTTGTTTTTTTTTTTACTGTCTAGCTGTCTTCCTTCTCAGTTCCATCTTCCTGGCTAGTCTGGCTCTAAGTATGAATTAGCTCAACGTAAATCCAAGTATGCAATACCTGGGCAATCTTCATGCATGTGATCGGGGTTGATGCAAGTTAATTTAAAGTGAAAATAAGGATTATATTGCAATGGCATATATGAAATTCTTGATCACTGGATTGAATCGATCATAATTTAATTATATTTTAATCTATATTATCTATATTTTATGAATAGAAAAATAATAGCAAGAATGCATAAAAATTTGATTCCAAAGAAAAATAATGATAAAATTAACTGAGAAGATGAAGTATGTGAATATAACAATAATTATAATTTTATGATATTGACTGCTGAGAAGAAAACCAAAGAACAAAGTACATAATGGCACGAAGTGAGGGAAAATATTTACAAGATATTCATGTAACCATATATTTTATTTTTTAAAAATATGACAATAGAACATATGACTCTGTTTGTGATTGGAGAATTAAACATAATTTATATATATTTATATATGTAACCTGACCTAATTGTACTCAAGTGAATACTGAATGTGCTCAATCTAAATGCTTTAATACCTTCTTTAAAAACTTAAAAATAAGGATTCTTACTTATTTTTTCGGCCAGCATGACTCCTCCAGATCATTGACCAAAAGGCCCATAATCCACATATTACAGATAATCCCAACAGGAAAAAAAAAACAAACACGAAGAAGAAACAAACCATATTAAATTTATGTCCATAATTTCTCACTAGGTATTGCATCCAAACATTTCTAAGTGGGATTGTCAATAAAAATGAGTGATAGACAGCAAGACAAATAAATTACAAATAGGTTCAATATTTATCCAAGTGACATCTTTGCATAAACATGTCCTTGATCTTGTTCAATGATGCCACAACATCTGACATACTGCAACGCTTTCGTGAAACATCGGCACAACAGTTCAAGGCCAATTCAAAGATAGTGGATGTAGTTGTCAAAATATCAGGAATATATCGCGGATCATCTCCTTGTATTAAATTGGAATCTATGACCTGAGTTAATGAATGTGACAATGATTCACTTACCCAACTCTTCAAGCTCAAGCGATCCACAAACATATCTTCTGTTGGCCTTTTTCTTGTGAACACTTCTATTAGTATTATTCCGAAACTATACACATCAACTTTCGTTGAAACAATTCCAAGAGATCCGTATTCTGCATATGATTTGATTCCGCCAAGTGAAAAATCAACTATCTCATAAAAATAAAAAAAACTTACAAAAAGCATTTAATCAATTCAGCCCTTATTGCTTATTGAGCAATAAAGAATTACAAGTCAAAAAAGTTATGACAATGGACTTGTTCTAAGTCAAGAAATTATAGGGATTAAGTTGTTTCAAATGAAAGTTTAAATACAGAATCAGTAACTAAGGAAAAGTTCAAGGATCAAAATTTATTCTTTTCCTTAGACTAAAGAACTTGGACATCCGTATGCTAAATTAATTAAACAAGTATAGCTCTCCTTTTTTAATCTAAAAACCACCCTCATAAAATTAGAAGTAAATACCCAAGAGTTTTTATCATATAAGAATTTGTGAGTATTCATATTGAAGGACAAAAAGTAGCAACGTTTAGGATAATTACCTGGTGCAACATAACCAATTGTAGGTATTGTCTCTGTGAGTGTCCTCGATTTTCCTTCATCTAAAAATTTTGCAAGTCCAAAGTCACTCAAATGAGCAACCATTTTATCATCCAGCAAAATGTTACTTGGCTTCAGATCACAGTGGACTATTGGTTTTGGTAAGCCATGATGGAGATATTCCAAAGCAGATGCGATATTTATCATTATATTTAACCTTTGCAGAAAATCCAAACAATAGTTATGAGAATATAACCATTTTTCAAGACTTCCATTGGGAATGAACTCCATTATCAAACACTTGAAATCAACATTGGAACAACTACTAATGATCTTCACCAAATTGCGATGACGCACATTACGCATTGCATCGCATTCCACTTCAAAGCTCCTTGACAATGTTTCAGAATCAAAATTGAATATTTTGACAGCAACCATTATTCCACTTGAAAGCCTTCCTTTGAATACAGAACCAAAACTTCCACTTCCCAGTAAGTTGCTCTTATCAAATCTGTTGGTTGCATCCAAAATTTCAAAATAAGAAATCCTTATTGGCGTTCCTAAAGTTGATAAATCTTGTTTCATGGTATGCCTGGAATTTATTCGTTTGCGTTGAAAGAGGATAATGCCTAAACCAATGAAAATTGTTGACAAAACCACAGGTAGGATGTACATCAGCAAAATCAATTTTGCCTTTGACCTCTTTCTTTTTTCTTTTCTGCATGGAGGAACTTGCATTTTTGCCTCACCACAAAGTGCTTTATTCATCATGAAAGATTCAGCGGACAAATCTTTGAAGACCCCACCGCTAGGAATCTCACCTTGTAGTTCATTATAAGAGAGATTCACGTACTTAAGGGATGTAAGTGACTCTAGCGATTTAGGAATCTCACCAGACAAATTATTTTGGGAAAGGTCTAGCTTTTCTAAGCTTAGCAAATTCCCAAGTGATACCGGAATCTTTCCTTGCAATATGTTATGCGTTAAGGAGAAAATTTGCAAATTTTGCAAGCTACCAATGGTTGTTGGAATGGTGCCTGAAAGATGATTTCTGGACAAATCTAATAGCGTGAGAGATTTTATGTTCCCAATCTTGAATGAAAGATTTCCAACCAACATGTTGGAAGATAGGTTTACTTGCAATATACCTGTCAAATTCCAAAAGGAAGAAGGTACCTCAGCAGTCAATTTATTGGCGTCCAAATAAAGCTCCTGCAGGTACATAAGATTTCCTAAGCAAAACGGCATTGCTCCAGAAAATTGGTTTCGGGACAGATATAAATATGCAAGCCTTCTAATGTCACAAAGCTCATCAACAATCAAACCATCTAGCTCATTGCCCATAAGATTCAAAAGCTGAAGAGCCTGCAAGTTGCTAATTGTTGCTGGAATTGATCCACTTAAGACATTTTCAGCGAAAGATAAGTGATACAAGTTAGACAAATTCCCAATTTCTGATGGTATTTTACCATTAATCTCGCAGGAGTGTATCAACAGCACTTGTAGAGAATCAGACAAGTTTCCAATGGACTTGGGAAGTTTCATATGCAAAGGATTAATTGAGAGAATCAGAGTCTTCAAATGTCCACAGTTTGACAACGAGCTAAAAAGCCAGCTTCAGAATCTGAATCATCTCTTATAGTGAAATTGTTATCATCTACCCAGAGTCTTTCTAGGTATGTTAAATGCCCAAGTGTGCTTGGTAAAACCCCATCAAAATTATTTTGCTCCAGTTCTAGAATGGTTAACTTGGAAGCATTGGATATAGTATTTGGGATTCTTCCGGAGAGTTTGTTGCCCCATAAATACAACTCTTGTAGATTACATAGGCCATATCCAAAATCGGATGGAAGACTTCCTGATAGAGAGTTGTTGAGGAGGGACAAGACTTTCAAAGTTGAGATGTTGAAAATTTCTGATGGAATAGATTCGCTCAATTTGTTATGAGACAACAATAATGTCTCAAGTTGTTGAAGATTACCTATTTCCATAGGTATTGAGCCTGGATCGAATACAAATATTAATCCACGTACCACAGAGATTAATATTTGAAGCTAATACAAAAATGTAAATAAAATTATGTTGTCTAACTATTTATATGTACCTATAACACTCAATGTTTACTATTTAGTGCTTGGTCACTAATGTTATCCGCCTAAAGTTTGCTTTTAGATAATGTAATTTTCTTGTGGGTAGGATCAGGTAATTCATTTTAAGGTACAAACAATAGGTTGGATATATCATGTTTATAGATGGTTTGCCTTTTATTATAAAATTCTTGTAAAATTTTGCAAGGATATGAGGTAGGTTGGGATAATAGATTCTTAAGTAAGGATGCGATCATAGAGTTTTAGGTAACCAAATGAATCATGAGAAACGTTGTTAGTTACTCCCTATTTATGTTAGTATTGTCAGTTACTTTGTGTTATCCGGTTACTTGGGTAGACTGTTAAAGCCTCCTTTGTAAGAAGATTTGAATGTCTTTATTCAGTAACTTCTCCTTCCTTCTCCTCGAATTACAGATCCTGGTTCTGCGATAATTCTCTCTTCTCACTTCACCTCTATTCTCTTCTCTTTTGTCTCCTCTCTCCTAGAATTTCTTCGTCTTTATCAGTATCTATCATTTTAGGTATCAAAGCCCTGTCTCTGGAACCTGTTGGGTCACTATGGCCTACACACGCAACTCTGTACTCAACTCTGCCCCTCATCTCCCCATTCTAGAACCTACCCAAACTTCTACCACTCCATCCGAATCCAACAGACCATCCTACCATTGAATTACTTTCTCAACAATTTTCTATAATCATCGCCAAACTGAACTCATGGGATGCAGAAATGTCTACTTTAAAACATCGAAAGATAATTTTTGAACCCAGAGGCAGCAATAGTAGTAACGGTAGACAAGTTAATGAAGAGTTGGATGAAGAAGATCAAGACAATCCTTGGTGGGACAAGCTTGTCATCCCCACTCTAAGGTTGAACTTCCTACATTTGAGATAGAGAGACCCAAGGGGATGCATATTCAAAGCTAAGAAGTCGCTACAAGAAAAGCTTTTAACGTTGGTTTTAAAAGAGGAAGTCTAAAATTTTGTCTAGAATTGCATTCCTTGTCCAAAAAAAAAAAACAAGTATCTCACGCCCCCAACTGGTCTTTTGCAACCATTAGGGATTCCTAAAAATATATGGGAAGAAATTTCTTTTGACTTTGTTACTGGACTACCTAACTCTAATTGATGGTAAGCAATTTTGGTGGGGGTTGATCACTTGAGCATATTTGCACATTTATTGGTCTTCCACACCATTAAATTGTTATAATCAGTTGTATAGCCCCTCCTTTCATTTTTTGTGATCGATGGTTGTATATTGTCTTGTCTCTGCGTATTTTGATTGAGATGTTAAACTTTTGATTAAACTATTATTGGACTTGCATGCTGTTAATTGAATTTCGCTCTTTCTAAGTCAGTATCCATCAATAAGTGGTTCAATTTCCTCCACTGATCGTTTATTTATGGTAATCATTGCATGTTGTTTGATTGAGTTTTAGACCAGAATTACAATGCAAGAGTGCTATTTCTTGCATTATGGTAACAAAAGAAGAAAAAGAACTACTGATATGATGCTGATGCATATAGAATATCATATTAACCAAAAAATGACAATACCACATTATATTGTGGTTTCTTCATACATACAAGTATGAATGTTGACTTAGAGACGGAATTTTGTAATACATAAAAGTTGCGATCTACCTACAATTACATGGAACATTAATATACTCTTCTGATCATTAATGTAAAACCTAATTAACTAATTTAAATGTATTAAAACTGTTAGATAAATTAGTTAATATGATATGTTTTTTCTAAAACACTTTAAACATCTTTTTTAATTTCCTTCCTACCTCTCCTACTTAATTATTGTTGAAAAAATATCAATAGAGTTAATTTGGAAAAAAAATTGATAAACATATTAAGTATATCTTACATAAATGACTAATATCAACTTTCTAATTAGGTCCTACATTAAGTACCGGAGGGAAAATATGTTTAACTAACTTCATTAATTTATGTAAGGTTATTACTAGGTGCTTATAATAAGGACTAAGTTAAGTAATAATTATGCAAGGCATACCTTGTAAAAGGTTGCGAGACAATAAGATCCTCTCAAGCGAGGATATGTTCGAAATAGTTGGGGTTATAATGCCTGAAAGCTTGTTCACATAAAGTCGTAAACTTTTGAGATGTTGAAGCCTTCCGATATCAAAGGGAATAGATCCTTGGAGGGAATTAGAATTCAAATCCAAGTTCTCCAACTTTGACAAATTGGATATACTTGCAGGAATGATGCCTCCAAAACTATTATTGCCAAGAATCAAGTGTTGAAGCGTAAATAAGCTTCCAATCCGAGTTGGGATTTCTCCACTGAATGCATTATAACTCAAGTTCAGAATTTCTAACCTGTGCAGCTGAAGCAACTCTTTTGGCATCTTACCACAAAGGTTGTTGCTGCTGAGGTCAAGTTTTACCAAGAACGACAAATTGCCAATCTGTGAGGGTAAGTTTCCATTGAGACCCATCTTTGCAAGACTCAGTATTCTCACTCTCTCATGCTCAGAATCACATGTAACCCCAGTCCAATTGCACATGGATGACGAATTGGACCAGTTTTCCAAGTGATTGTAAGGATCCTTAACAGAAGATTTGAAAGCAAGAAGCGCCAATTCATCGGAATTAGTAAAATTGGACTGACATAAACCTGGGCAAATCATGAAGAAGATGAAGCAGAAATGAAAGATAAGATTTCCCATGTCTGCAGAAGGCATATGGCTTGTTATTAGATTCAAGACCCAGGAGGAGATTAATGGTTCGAATAAATACTATGGTGAGAGTGATGGTTAGTAATTAATTTAAACCAGAGAAACGTTTTATAACAAGGAAAAAGCTTGATTTAGGTAATCAATAGAAATGTGAAAGCAAGTTGATTACAAAAAGTGGATGCCAGTTGTGAGTCGCAACCGTGGTGGAAATTTGTGTGTCCGCCTAACATTATTAGTCAATTAAAAAGACAGATTGATCATAAATTAAAGGGGATGGTGAGGTCCTGCCATAATATTATTGAAAATGGATTTCACTGATTGTTGAAAAAAATGGATTTCACCCCTAAATTAATATTTAATATAGACTATTCAAATGTATTCATAATGCATTCAACCATTTTCTTTGATTCTATAAATGAGGAGAATTTCAAAAATCTCTCACAATTCATTGATGGGCCCCACGAGATTGAATTTTTTTTTTCAAGAATTTGAACATGTTTGGAGCTCATTTGATTACGACAACTAATATTTGCGAAATTCTGTGAATGCACGTACATGTGTTTACACCTTGAAGGTCAAAAAAGATGTTTTTACATCTTTTCACATTTCATTCATGTAGTCCCTAGAAAATGAAATATCAAGTCAACTAGAGCCCATCTGTGTCCTTCCCACCTCCCTACTTGCACCCATAAACTTCATAGTCAAGAAAATTAAATCGCCGAGAGAAAAACATGTAAAAACAGTTGCTGGCAAAAAAAAAAAAAAAAAAGCATGTACAAAGAGTTCGGGTTAATTAATTAATATCTATATAATAAAATTATTATAGAGTTAGCGTAGATATACAAGTATATGCTATTGAGGATTTCAAACGGCATTAGAGACTATTAGAGAAAGACACATTATACCTTGGCCCTTGTATAAATACATGCATCTATATATAAGAATGGAGGGGGGGTTTAGGTTGTCTTGTGAGATCCAGAATTCACTCAACAGACAATGGAAGATTCATGAAGCTTGCCAGAAATATAAATTTACCCAACAGACAGGCTGGCCAAAAACTCTGTTGTTAGAGTTTTAGAATCTTTTAGTTCTAATATATATAATATCTCCGGTCCTTAATATAAGAAATTAAGAAAGTTACTAAATTACTTTAAACTATTTATATTTATTATTTTTCTCTAACTTAAACTAATTTGCCTCATTTATAAATTGATATACAATCTAATGATCTATATAAGTATTTTGGACAGATAATATAACATATACTGTAATTAAGTAATTTAGTAACTTTTCTTAATCTCTCTAAACTAGCCAACTAGTTTTATATTAGGAATCAGAGGTAGTATATGTTTTGATCTGATACACCGGTACCATCATCCCCTTGTTTTATGTTAATTATATTTTTTCTAAAATTGTCCATATCTAAAATTAGAATGCAATTTTCATTTTCAACTTGTCAAGATACAATTCATGATTTGTATTTATAATTTTTATTTTATGTTAACTGACTTAACCTATATTTTGTTATGATAAGATGGTTAGGGATATTTTATAACACTTGTCACGCCTCTTTTTATATCCCATTATATATTAATTGGAACCAATATAAGTCGCTTCGTAATATTTCCAGATGAAAAATTTGAAATTCAGGATTTCACTGTTCATCCAAAAATGGGCTAATTTTGAAAATGCATAACTAACTTTAGAAAAATCAAAACAATGTGATTCCAATTTTTGCACGAAGCTTGCTAAGAGTTCTATGGAGGAAAAATAACCATTACGTCCAATTCCATCTAGAGTAATTCAAGGAAATTCATCAAAGTGTACTGTTCATTTGGTAAATTTTTGAATTTCCAGTATTTTTGCCCAACTTTGGAAGGGCACAACTCCAAATTTAATGAATTACCACTCGTTTTAAAGCTAAAAATGAGATCTATTTGCCTGTAAAATTTCATGCCAAAACTCCAACAAGTACCCATTATTTTATGTGCCACAAGTTTGGCACTTTTTAGGGAATGTCTATCCCCCAATGTTACTTTCTTTAACTTATCTTCCAATTTTCTCTTTCCTACACTCTTTTGACATTGCACCATCCATAATTTTAGCATAAGGGCATGTCATACTAACATAATTTACATCACATATTATTCATAATCCATTATATTTTCAACATAAAGTTCATTAATACATTACATAACATAACATTATAGCATCACTTCCATAATGCTCCTCTATTCCAAAATTATTTCCTTGCCCATGCCATCAGATGAATCATTCCCTATTTGAGACATAATTTAACATAGGGGGAATGAGATTTCAAAGATATCCCAGTAGCATATGAATTTTAATGATCATGTAAATCAAGCAAGTTAAAATGTGACATGTTGTATAACTTCAAGGCATCCTCAAACCACATAAAATCATATCCAATATCATGCTAAGAGAGGAATATCATCACTTCCACATTAACACAATTCAATGCATTTGGCCAAAGTATAAACCAACGCCATCCAATCCACAAGGATCACAACATAAGTTCCTTAATTCATGCAACAAACATCATCACATTAAACAAGCATGATAAACAATCAAATTATAATTCAAAGCTACCTTTGTAAAGTTTGTCCAATTAATTCCTCCAAAAAGCAATGCTTCTCCTTAATTCCTCCTCTCAATGCCTATCAAACCAAGCATAAACATATGCCATATTAATCACAAAACAACTTAATTCTAATACTTGTACATTAACTCAACAATTCCCCCCCTTTTTCGTGATTTTTAACAATATGATTCCTCCTTTAGAATCAATCATCTCATGGCTCAATCCTACACAATTTTTCATGAGGAATCCAATGGTGAAATCAGATTTAAAAATTCATACTCCTTTCCCATGAAATTCACTTGGCCAAATAGGGGGGTTCTTAACTTCCAAAAATTTCATTTTTGATTTCAATGAATTTGAACACTTTCCAACAACATATCCCTGCACAAGAATATGTTTAAAAGCCATTGTAATCATCAAATCAAGTAAAATCCAATTGATTCTGCATGAACAGTGCTGGATGAAAATTTTCCTTTGAACCCTAACCTTAATTTCATCCAAAAATAATCCATACACCACTTAATCTTCCTTATTCTACTTGATTATTAAGGTTTCTATCCTTCCCTAAGCATCACATATCTCAATCGAATTTCTCAGAATTTTCCAGTATTTTTCCAGCATTTTCCCAAGCAAAAATCCTTGTTTAATAGATGTAAAACTTATATTGATGCTTGGACATACTTTAGTGTTTCCTTGAAGTAAGTTAGATGATTTCTTGCCTAAAACTCCTCAAGAATTTTGTGCAAAATGGCTGGATGAACAGTGGCAGAGTTTCCCCTTATTTTTCCCAATTTTCTAACATTTTCTTTGTATTTCCAAGGGGTATTTATAGAAAAATTCCATCTGTCTTCTTGTCCCCTGATTTGGACGAAATTAGACACCTAAGGAGGTGTATGTGGCAGCCATCAAGTGTCCAAAATATTCAGATCACTCCATGTGGCATTTATCTAGATTTTTCCACAAAAATATCTCTTAATTTCACATTTTATTTAATAAAAATGGAGGAACCTGGAAGGTGCACGAAATTGGGCCCTTATTAGACTCAATTTGGGCCTCACAGAAGGCTTGAGTGGGCCTAAAAAAATAGCCCACAAACCAAATTACTATCTCAAACCAATCTGAAACTTTATCGGTTACTATTCACTAATAACATTCCATAATTTTTTCAGACCTCCAAAAATTTATTTCTCTCTATGATAATTAAAATTTTAATATGGGAATATGATCTGAAAGTTTTCAGAATTTTTTGTCACCTCTGGATATTTATTTTGAATTTTCTCTAATTAGGCCTTTATCAGTAAATCTGAGGGAAAATAAATTTCTTAAAATTAATTCTTGAGCTTCGAAGGCCTAAAATCAATTTTATAAATTCAAATAAATATTTAGATGAATTTTTCATCAATCTTACAACTTTATTGAGGCCTCTAACTCATTAAACTAATTATTTTTCTTTATTTTCCCAATAATTTCCTGAAAAACCTCTGTTTGCGGGAAATTCCATAATAATTCGTTTTTACTAAAATTTCACCTTTTGAGCCTTAACCAAGTTTCCAAAACCTCTAATCTACACTTTTTTCATTTTTTGGAGATTTTCTGGAATTTTTTTCAAATTTTCCCGTTTTGCCCTTCCTAGACCAATAGTTACGAAAATGCCAGTCCAGACCTTTTTAGGGTTTCATATCAAAAGTTGTTTCATCTCTCCATCTAATTCCTACATTGACCCTCATTCTAATTTTTGATCCAATATCACCAAATGAAAATTTTTGGGATATGACAATACTCACCAGGAATTGGGCGTAACATCTTAAATTTTGAGCTTAAAAACTCAATAATAAATTAAATTATGTAGGTTATTGAGCCTGGCTAAGCAAAAGTCCCAAAAATAAAATATCATTGATAGATAAAATGATCTCTCGGAACTAAAATCACATATTTAAGTTTTTGGGGGGCAAAAGTATAAAACAAATAAATCATTAAATAATTAAAAAAATAAACCTAGGGCTTGTAGAAAGAAAGAAGTAGATAAGGATTAAAGAAACTTGAGGAATAAGGAAAAAAAATTGTGTAACTTGGGGAAAAAAATAATGAAATGGATAAGGTTAAAGTAAATGTGAATATATGCATGTGATTTGGATAAGTTTCTAATTGTCTTGGGAAGGAAGAATTGAAAAGGATAAGAAAAAATTAATGAAGCCATATGGGACCAATGTCATATGGATAAGAGGTAGGCTGGAACAATCAAGAATTATATAGGTCCCATTCTCTATATTTGCGAAGGTAAATATGGATGTGATTCCTATATCTTGTTTTAATTAATGATTCGTATCTCTAAATGAGATTTTAACATTTTTCACAACTTACATTTTCTCATGGATAATACTGCAAAGGA